ATGCAAAAAAATGCATGTTATTATATTTTTAATGCAAAACTGTATTTTTTTTATCTGTTGTTCATGATTTTTTAGTTGGAATGACTGATGTTAGCTGGCTCTGTGAAGAATTGTTTTTCTTAGTAATTTTTTAATGCAAAAAATGTATGTTCTTGATAATTGAGTTGTAGCCATGTTTGGAGCTTGCATTTTGTATTATATTATCCTGAATGTTTGTAATTGATATGTACGAAAATATTATTGTCAATAAAGGTATTTTGCAATAACAAATAACAACAAATATGACTACATGAACTACCGCAACATATTATCACTACACATGGTGATTATTTTTCTTTTTGAACTGTCAGGTTAATTTTATACTTTTTACATCTTAAAACAGTTGAATCATGTCAAGATCTGCAGAAGATCTTGCATGGCAACATGGGGTCTGACTTGATCCCAACAAGAAAGACAAAATTATTTGTAATTATTGTCAAAAAGTGATAAGTAGTGGGGTACATAGGTTCAAGCAACACTTGGCAGGGGTTAAGGGAGAAGTTTCTGCGTGCACTAGTGTCCCTAGTAATGTAGAAAAATAGATGGCGGCAATTATTAATGCTAACAAAGGTAAAAAGTTTGCCAAACATAGGATGAATGAGGAGATAGCTAGTTTATATACACCATCAAGCAGGAATGATACAGAAGAGCAATAATGACCTAGAAGAGCAATATAATAATGAGCTGGACATAGCCACAAGATTGAGTTTACATGAACAATATCAGAAGGAACGTGGGTTTAGAATGCCCAGTGGGTCTAGCTCAGACATGCATGGTGGGCCTAGCTCAGATATGCATGGTGGGCCTAGCTCAGATATGCATGGCGGGCCCAGCTCGAGCATGTATGGCGGGCCCAGCTCAAATATGTATGGAGGGGTTGGTGGCAATATGTATCAAGGAGAATCAGTTGTTGAAAAAATTGTTTCTAGGTTACCTAGAAGTGCCAGTATTGCAAGTCATGGTCGTAAAGACCCATTTCTCTCAAAGCCTAAGTCACAACAGATGACCCTAAAAGGCATGGTTAAAGGTACAAGAAACATATTAGGGAGATATGTTGGTAAATGGTTCTACGATAAAGGGATTCCCTTTGATGCAGCCAATAGCCCATATTTTCCACTTATGGTCAGTGCAATCCAGAGAGTCGGGCCCGGGGTAAAACCCCCGACGGCATATGAGCTCAGTGGGCCAATATTAGATGAAGAGGTGGAGGAAGTTAAAAAGTGGATTGAAGAATATAAACAGAGTTGGCCAATGACAGGCATTACTCTCATGAGTGATGGTTGGTTGAAT